CTGTTTTTGAAAAGAGAGTTATGTGAATTTAGTTTCAAGATGAAAAGAATTATTTATTTCAGTCTTAAATCTACGAGTGCAAGCTCGAAAACAAATGAGTAAAGATTTTTAGGAAAACAATGGTAGTATTATTGAAATGCAAAGTGAGTGAGTGTCTCTTGAATAGATAAAAATATAAATGAAATTTTTTAATGTATTTCAAGAGAAGTTGTCTATGCTACCATTGGAGAGAGATAAAGTTTACATTTTAGTAGCTCTAGAGTACTTTACTTATATTTATTATTCTATATCGGATGGTTCTCGCTAAACTAGAAGAATGAGAATTCAATTGAAAATATATTAGACCGAGTATTTATTCAATTAGCATTTTGTGGTGGGTGCTCATGTTGTGTTTGTAAAGAAAATGATTAGACTGTAAAATGGTACATAGGTTACTACCAGTTGAATAAGACAGCAACGTGTAGTAAATATCTTTTATGTGGTATTGATAATTTATTTGATCAATTGTGAGGCACTAGATAATTTAATAAGAATGATCTTAAACTGAGTTATCTTTACTTAAAAGAAAGAAATGATAATGTTTTGAAAACAATATGTGCAACTAGGATATTTTTGTTGTATTTTTGGTGAAGTCATTGAGATTGAGAAATGCTACATCTGTTTTGATAGATTCACTAAATTGAGTATCTCAACTTTATCTAGATTCATATGCAATTATATCATTAGTGTTACACCTGTGTATTCTTATAGTAAAAAGAAGAAATTACCCTACTAATGATTTTTTGGGTTAGATGTATTATTTTTTGCTTTGAAGTTATGGAGAAAGACATGTAAGATTTATTTCGATTATCAAAGGTTAAAAGATTTATTTACTGAGAAGGAGTTTAATTTGAAAAAAAAAGAAGATGGATGGAAAAATTAGGGACTATGATTATTCTATTATTATCATGTAGGCAAAGCTATTATAGTGGTCGATATACTGAGCAAGAAATCATTAAGAAGTTGTATTGTATTCAATGTACTCAAATGAGTAATTTTGGTTGATTTGAGATTGATAGGGGTACAAGTGATATTGATTGTGTATATGTATTATTAACTCATTGCAAGTTAGAATCTTTTGGTAGATCATATTGGTAAACTAAAAAAAAATATAAATAAATAAATAAAAAGACATGTGTAGAGTATTAGAAATGAGGTGTAACATAGTAACATGATAGATTTTGTAATTTATGCTGAGGTTATATTTATATTTTGGCATTAGTTATGAGTACTAAAAGAGAATACGTTGAAGGGAGACATTATAGATGCAACCTATAGTTATATGTTCATTCGAGGAGTACGAAATTATATTGATATTAATAATCTATTATTAGTTGAGTGGAAGGAAATAGAAATTGTTGAAATTGTAGTTAATGTGTAATGCATTGATAGATAGAGATTGAATATCAGTATCTTATAGATTTATTACAACTTCTTTCAATTTTGAATGGAAAATGGGAGTATATTATTATGAATTTTCTATAATGACTTTTGGGATACAGATGGACATGATACAGATTGGACATGAATTTATTGTGAATTATTGTGGATTAATTGACGAAGTTATTTGGTAAAGATGTTTCATTTTCACGACATACTTTGTGTTGTTATGCTCAAGAAGTATGTATACCTGATTCTCCTTGTATATATTGGTGGAGCAGTCTACTGAGTTTAAGAAAATTCTTAATTATGTTGAATAGTCAATAAATTTTGGGAAACAACATGATTCCATTAATCAAGATATTGTGGAAGAGTCACTTAAGCGAGAAAGTTACTTGTAAAGTAGATAAAAGGAAGGAAATTGAATATCCTCATTTGTTCTCACCAGGTATATAAATTTCGAAGACGAAATTCTTTTAAGGGGAGAGAATGTAATACCCAAAATTTTTGAAATACATATATATATAACTCAGTTTTGGTCAAATTGTTATATTATTTTTGAAAAGGGATGTTAGTATAATTAGTGAATGAGAAATTGTAGGGTTATTGTACGATTTTTTTTATTTTGTATTTACATATATGTAGCTAGTCAAAATAGGGCAAAACAAAAAAACAAAAAAAAAAAGGAAAGGAGGATTCTGTCGCTAGAGAGAGAGAGAGAGAGAGAGAGAGAGAAAGAAGGAAGGAAGAAAGAAAGAAGAAGAAGAAGGGATTTGGATCTATTAAAGGTATGAATCCATCATTTATTTTATGGGTTTTATATTAAATCACATGGTGCTAGTTTTATATATATGTGTGTGTGTGTGTGTGTTCATGATGGGAAATAAAGATAAATATATAAATAAATTTTATTACAAGTTATTAATTCTATGTATTATTAGATCTAATTTAAGATTGGTTGATTTTGAGACTTGTAGATAATTTAATTATGTGTTAAAAGAAGAGAAAAAACAAAGAAGGACGAACCGAGAAAGTTGCAGAACCAATTTTTGTAGGTTGAAGGAGATGGGATTTTGAAAATTATGGAAACGTACCCTTTAGTTTCAAAGAGTTTTACTTTGACTCCTATATTTTTTTAAATTTAATTTTAACCACTATTTTACTTTAAAAGTTAGAAAAATAGAATCTTAGAAAAATTATTGCAGGCCCGAAAACAAAAAAAAAATTATTTTTAAGGAAATTATACTTTGACCCCAAAAGTTTCAAAACAATTATGATTCAACCCCACAACTTTAGAAACTTTTTCCAAATAGGCCAGAATACTTCCATAGCCTATTACCTCATATTATAAATGATATTTATATGTAAAAGATATATTAAGTATATATATCAATGTGTGAGAAATATAAAAATTAAATATAGAATCGCGAAACGACGAAGTTAGGAATATGGATTGATTGTGATATGTTATTTTGTATTAGGTGGTGATTTCATTTGAGGTTGGGAAAGAATGCTTTGAATTGAATTTTGAAAATCAAGGCGAGTAGTTTACTATCTCTTTTGAAAGGATTTTCTATATTAAATGTGTGGGTGCGTGCATGTGGATTTTTCATATATATGATATATGTATTGATGTTTGGGGTTACTATTGAATGTTTGGAAATTGTGAACTATTATACATGTGAATTTTGAAAAACTTGTGAAATTTTTTTATAGCATTGCTTTGGTGATGGAAGAAAAATTTTGTGTGCGTTGGGATTAAAACTACAGTTTTGGTGTGTATGGAAATCATGTTTATGAGACGGGGACTAGAGTTACCAGGTCTAAGTGGTAACAAGTGACTGAGACTGAGGTTACCAGGTCTAAGTGGTAACAAGTGATTAGGTCAGTCATCGGGTTAGTGATGACAAGATACTGAGTCAGTTATCAGGTCAGTGGTAACAAGAGACGAGGTCAATCATCAGGCTAGTAATGACAAGAGATTAGGCCAGTTACCAGGCTAATGGTAACAAGAGAGTGGGCATGTTACCAGGCTAGTGGTAATAAACATGATTTGACAAGTGTGTTTGGGAATTGAATGAGTGTGAGTGTTTTTGGTTATACATGTCTTTTCATTTATAAAGTTATTTGTGAAAATGAGTGGTGTTTTGGGTTATAAATATCTTTTCATTTACAAAGTTATTTGTAATCATGAAATTATTTTGTTTAAATGATTATATGGGAGGGGTTGGGGTACAATTTATTGTACTTTTGTATGTATCAAAGTTTATTTTTGTATATAAACTCTGGGATTTATTTTTGCACCTCATTAAAGGTGGTTGCTATTCATGGGTCATTGTGCTCACCCAAATATTTAACCATTTTCAGGTAAGGATCAGGGGGAGGAGTAAGTCCTCAGATAGACAAGGGATTAGAAGGATTGAAGATTTATTTTATCGTAGGTTTTCAGGAATAAATGTCTTTTGTAATTTTGAGACAAATATTCAATTGTTTTGTAAAAAATGTTGCTTATGTTTAGAGTAGTGAACTTTATGAATTAATTATTGTTTTACATGAGTTTAATAATAGTGTCGGTGATATTAGTTTATTCCTTTGGTATTTATTAAATCATTGGAATTGATCACTTGTCGTTCACTGTATTTTGCATTTATTATGCATAGAGATGGTTGGTTAAGGCCTTGGTGGCCGGTCCGCTGCTCACCCTATGTGATCCGGGGTGGGGGTGTGACATACCATGTGCAACAGTGGGCCGAAGGAACAGCTGCACATCGTAATGTTAAGGAACTATTCAAGCTTGGCATTCGATGGAGAGGAATGTTATAGAATGTTGTTTTGGCTTACTCAAAAATCGTTGGGCAATCCTAAGGATGCCTTGCCACTACCCCCGTACGTGCACACAATCGAATCATTGTCGCATGTTGTTTGTTGCATAATTTGGTTAGAAATGAAATAACATTCAATCCATTGGAAGATGAGTTTTTAGAAGATGCTCTAGCCGATAGTCATGATGATATAGAGTCAAATGTGATCGACATGGTCGACACATCTAATGAATGGACTGCTTTTAGAAATCAACTAGCCAATGATATGTACAATGAATGGCGTGAAAGTAGAGGTGGCTAATTGTTTGACCACATTTGTAGTAACATACCAATTATGTTGTTGAATTTATGTGAACTATTTGTGTTTTCTTATGATCACTTTATCCAACTCATATATGAATTATGTGTTTGTCAGTTATTTAATTGTATATGGCATGTACGTATATAAGTAGGTCATGTCAAATGTTGGTGGTGGTAGCCAAGTAGAGCGTGGTCCACACCAAACATGGATTGCCGTAGAGGAGGTTACTCTCATTTAAGCTTTGAAAGAACTTTGTGTCAACGAATGGAAGTGTTAGAATGACACGTTTCACCTGGGTTAATTTCAAACATTAGAGCACAACATTAAGGATGCATTCCCAACACTTGATCTTCAGGCATCACCACATATTGAGTCGAAAATCAAAGCCTGAAAAAAATAGTACAACTCTTTGTATTCAATGCTAAGCACATCCTGCTTTGGGTGGAATGATCGCGACAAGAAAGTGGATGTGTATGGTGAAGATATCTGGGTGGAGTACTTGAAGGTTTTACTACTCTCTTGCATCCATTAATAATAGTAAACCAAGATAACTTGTATATGTTATACCCTAGTAATTTTTTTATTGACAATGTAAAAAGACAAGAATGTGGAGGGGATGCGTGGTAGATCATGGTCGTTGTATGATGATTGGGTCCTTATATATGGAAAATATAGGGCAACAGGCGAGTTTGCACAAGGACTTGAGGAAATGATCAAGGACAATTCAGTTGTTGGGGATATCCCTGGGGATGCCAATGTAGAGGCTCATCCAACTGGGAGAATAGATGATGTTAACCACTCGCAACGTGTAACTCAGGGCAGGGAGGGTGTGAATGTCACCCCACAGACACATAAGACAAAAAATAATAAAAAAATCTAGAGATATAAGCGATTCAATGGCTACAAGTCTTTCCCATATATGTAGGGTATTCGGTGATTATATTGTTTCAAGCGAGAACCAACTAGCAAGCATTGCACAGAGGGTAGGCTATGAGCAAGATGCATCTATAAATAGACGTGCCATCCTAGCAGAGTTGTCGAAAATAGATGGCCTCACAATGGCACACCGACACGAGGCAGCATACAAAATTGCTTCAGATAACATAAAAGTTGACATTTTCTTTAGCTTGCCCATGGAAGAGCGAGCACACTAGGTTGGTAGCATACTATGGCCTGATTTAGATGTTTATCAAGATCATATGTAAAGGTATATGTGCCCTGCTTGTGAACTAAATTTTGGTTGACCCATGTGTCACATTAACTTTAGAAACTTATGTATTATGTGGATGTTTTGGGTGTTTGACTTATTAATTAGATGTTTTACTTCTTCTTGGGTAGATGATGATCAATTATATATGTTGATCATATGTAGGTTTGTGAAGAATTTTGCATTTCTAGTTTTGGTAACTTGTTTAAGAACTTTTATGTTGGACTATCCATATGACTATTTCCTATGAATGTATGGTTATTGATGATGACTTGAAAATATATTTTGTTTTTGTAATTGTTGAGGTTTTAGTTCACAATGAAGCTACCCGACGTTACAGAGGATGAAGTTGATATCATGCTTGACTTATGAGTTGACTTTAAGAATCGCACAAAATTACCTGTAGCAGGCAGGTATTCACAAAGACTAATTGATGCACTTTTTAAGCGGATGCGAAGAAGGATACCTAGGTTTCATCTGTCTATGAGTGATATGTTAAGGCTAATCCTTTTTTGGGAGTGCCAATATAAAAGCATTGCAGAGATGTTAAATAGTGGAATGTTTGTTTGGGACACACAGACTACATGTGTTGTTGAAGGCCCAGAGTCTGGTGGTTTGGATTTCATTCAAGTACGTGATTCTAATCAATTTGTTTCACGTTCGTGTTGGTGTGCCATTGTTTTATTACTTGACACATTTATGGTTCTATATTTTAACTTGACACATTTATTACTGGATGATTGTGTTGCTTGTAACTATTGTTTGGATCCTTGTCCAAACTTCCCAATATTAGAAATTATTTTCAAGAATGATGTACCAACCTCAAGTCAACAACACATTGATAGCAGTGCTAGATCATGCCTATCAGTAAATTCGAGGAGGAGGAAAGATGATGTCGTAGTTATTGATAATGATTGACCTCGTCCTCTGTCATGTAACAAAAACTCGGGGTGTATGTACTTGGGCAAACTCGCCCAGGTGAACCTGAATGCCAATGACTTATTTCTTTAGTTCATAGATCATTCGATAGAGGCAGAGCTGTTTGATTACTCTAGTATTGTTGTATATTTTTAGTGCAAGTTTATATATTATGTTGGATATGTGGGTTTAATTATGTTGTGTGTGGCATTCGTATGCCATGTTCTTAATTTGTGCTCAAGGTTGTATTTGATTGAATATGATTCTCAAATATTAGTTCAAATGGTTTTGGGGAAGACAATTGTGCTATTTTGTAATTTTTTCAGTTCATTTTTTGGGTGCTTATTTTTTTTGTTTACCGTGATTATGAAGTCCAGATAGCAATTCCTATCATAATGGCTCGACTTTTAACTTATCCTGAGCATGTCTCCCATCATAATATAGAGAAATTGAGGCAGTGTGTCCGTAATGGAGCTAATAAATACCCAGGTGCAAGATTTCTCAAAAAGTCTGATGGTACCTCAATGTAAGGATTCTTATTTGTCATTATTTTCCACATTTGTGTATGCTTTGCATTAATATAGGTCACTTGTTACGCTAAAGTCCTACGGGGTTTCTTTGCAAGGTTGGGTTCAAACAACAAGATGGAGTGGATATTTATAACTTCCTTCATTTGGTGAGGAGCACTTCCAAAGGCCAAGAAATGAGTACTGCTAGCCCTTTTGCCATTAATGCCTTACAGTCATGAAATTAGTTGCCATTGTGATGTGTAGTGTATGAACTGCATAGTTTCAGTGAGGGTAGTAAATTCAGATTATGGTAATGTAATAGTAGTTGGTAGTTAACAATAGAAACTGGTTCTTCAATTTTGCTTTGGACTAGTTTTTCTATTTATTTTTTTCTGTGGTGAGTGCTAATCTGTTTTGCTGTAATTTCGTTTTGGTGCACAACCTGGATAGGCTCTCTTCTAAATACTCAAAAATGCTTCATGGGAAATTGGTTAGTCAGTCATATTCTTTCTCCATTACAACGTCTTCACTGGCAAAGTTTGTCACCCATGTATTTATGTTTTTCTCTGCTAATAATTTTTCTCCATTGTCTGGCAGGCTGCTTCTGCAACATTATTAGGTTGGGGTGCCTATTGCAAGGCTGAGGAAGGTAGTGATTGATCAAAGGATCAGGAGCTGAACTGTGAGGAGACTAAGATGCAGGAATATAGCGTAAAATGGTTTTAAGACATTTCTTGTATTTTTTTTTCAGAACAGTTTGGTTCATGTGTATAGGGAGGCAAACTGTTTGGCTCATTTTTTGGCAAAATGGGCTGTCAAGCAGATTTGTTCTGCTGATTTTTCCCTGGACTTGATCATTCCATTGCAGGCAAAGCTGCTGATGTTACAGGATCAGGAAGGGGTTAAGGCGTTTAGGAAGAAGATTGTAATTCTTTGATACTTTTTATTTTTCCATGACTGATAAATGGGGTTTGCTTCTTGTAATTTTGTTGGCAAATGAAATAAATTGTTGATTTGTTTGAAAAAAAATGAAAAAACATTATGCTATTATGTATTGACTACTCCGTAGAGTTGCGTCTGCCTTGTGAGGTTGCTGCTGCTTTGGGGAATACTCGATCTGTTCCTGCTGCTTTAGTATTGATTTGCTGGAAATTTTAAAGATGGAAAGAGAGTTGGAATGGAGCTTATGGACTAAATGGTTTTGCTTACTATTTGGTTTTGCTGGTAGTTTTTTGACATTTTAGTTGATAAGGCGACTGTGCCTTTTTTTTAGTTTGGTTTTGTAAGGTTGTTTTGCCTTGTTTGCTTCTTGTAATGACTCTGTTTTTTGTAAATAAATAAATTTTTTCTGTTACAAAAAAATATTTGTTTGGAAAAAAAAAATACCCAATATATATATAGTTAACTTTCCTAATTTTTATATGCTTTTATGTATATATGAAAAATGTATAATTTTATTAGGTTTGGATGGGTTAACCAATCATAGGATATGATTTGTTTGAATTGGAATGAATAAAATCATAGGTAGAATGGTAAACTATTATAAATTATGTGTAATCTATGGAGCCCTTTGAATTATACACTTATTTGTCAGACAAATGTTAAAATTGGATATAATCTTTGGTTAAGATTTTAAAATGGTTGAGTAGGTTAAACTTGAATGAATTAGGACATAAAAAAACAAATTATATCCTATTCAACCCCATTAGTCTAGCACACCCTAAAGATATTTTATCGCATCACGTGATCATGCCCTACAATATACATATTTAATAAATTAGAAGCAACGATTGACGGAAATCACTCATTGTGGAGTTCACTCGCTTTGGACGGAAATCAAGTAGAAGCAAGATTTGGACGGAAATCACTCGCTTTCTGAAGTTCTCGTTTCATTAGATTAGTTAATATTACCAGTTTAAGGCGTAATTCTGATCATTATACAAACCATCTGAGCATGAAAATTCCACCCCAGTAATCGGAGAAGGTGGATACAAAAGCCCAGGATCTACAAATGGCGCCACGAAGTCGTTCATGCTGTTGTAATCGTCTTCCAAAAATGGTTCTGTCCAAAAATCTCCGACCGGTTCTGCAAATATTTCCGCCGGAGAAACATCATCATCTCGGCCTAACTCTCTGCCGTTTTCTCCGGCAGAATCTGTGGTTGAAGTCGAAAATTCACCAGAAACTAGTTGTGGAGACAATGGGCAGCTTTCAAGGATTCGGTGATTTTCAGGGTTTAAAGGAGATGGTTGATCAGTACTGCTGGTTTCACCGTGAGAATGATCGTCGGAGCTCACTTTTGGTTCATCGCAAGTTGAGTTTTGCTTTGAGCGTTTCTTGAGGTAGGTGTGCCAGTGGTTTTTAATCTCATTGTCTGTTCTTCCTGGTGAATGGGCTGCAATGATTGACCATCTGCAGAGAAAGAACATTATGAGATTTCAAATTATTAATTGGGAAAAACTTCGAACAGCTTGTCAAATTTGATATTTACGTTTTATAACTTCATGAAGATAGATTTTGTTGAAATTTGTATGATGAGATATAACGTGGTTCAATTTTTAAAATCTACATCCTCGACACAATTTTCATAAGTTCTTTTGCTCTTAATGATGGATTACATTATAGTTGGTTTGTATGCTATCAAGAACACATGTATATATAAATAGTGAATCATTACATGAGAGAGAGAGGGGGTACCTATTTCCTAGAGACTTATGTTATTGGATGATGAGATCTTGCTCTTCTTTGCTGTAGTTCCCTCTTTTGATGTTTGGTCGTAGATAATTCATCCACCGCAATCTACAACTCTTCCCACACCTTGATAAACCTTAAGAAAGAAGCAAGCAAGGAAGTTTTAGACTAAGCGGGAAGAAAACATGAACACAGAAGTTTTAGACTAAGCAACGAACTGTAATGTTGGTCATGAAATATCTGTTTTTGAGAACCATTTTTCTTAGTTGTCGCAAAAAGTCATTGCAATAATCAGATCATCTGTACTAAACTATGGTACTATGGTACCGGAAAATAGACTCGTACCTGCATACTTGGGAAGTTGACGCCAGTTCCAACACCCGTACTGGGTGATATAAGCTATTAACTTTCTATCTTCATCTGGAGTCCAAGTACCATTCTTCAGTCCAGCCTTGTCACAGCATGGAGTTCTCACCATCTCTCTCTCTCTCTTTCTCTCCCTACAAACCCACCTACCCAGTTTCAGATGTTTGGCCACAAATGAAAACTAGAGTCAGCTATATATACCATGACTTCACCACCAAAACGTGTAACACGGCACATAGGGATACTGAAGCACCATCACTTATCAAGGCATAACTATGTTTCTTTTCTAGTGAACGGTCCCTCCAATTCCAAGAAGATTCAACTCAGGTTCAGTTTTCACAAGACCCGTAGTCCTCCACTTGGAGCGAAAGATGAACATGATAGTGGGTTCCTAAAACACATCACCGCGTGATATTGTCGTCACCCATCAATATCACAATACCAGTCAATGGAAAAGACTCAATTATCATCAACGTGTTTCACACTATTTTGTGGCTGCTTTTACCCTGGTTTAACCAATAAGACACATCAGTCCCGCAAAATAGTTGATGGGAGATTTTCCGATCTTTTCAGATGATAATACGTGTACTCGGCGTCAATGGAGACATCTGCTCTAATACTGACACCTCTTTGTGATTTTTAACCCCCTGTCCCGAGAATATTATTCACAGGGATCAAGGAACTCCAAACCACCATGGACCAGCACGTATTTCTCGACAGTTTTGGGTACATCGGTCCTAAATCATACTAGTCCCTCGGCACCGAAGGGTATCTATCGCGTCGGCGTTTCTGCACCTACAGGGGCTATTAATGGACAGATCACTAACCTAGGCAAGACTAAACTAGTCATCATGACCTCGTCTTATTCAAATGGTGTCAGGAGGCACAAGAAAGTAGAATGTTCAACCAAATGGGAATGGACACGTGGCGTATTGTGTCAAATCAGAGACAAAAATATCAGAATGTCCTTACTAATACACGACTTGGAAAAGCAAGTATTTAATGCATATTTTCCTTGATGAGACAGCATTTAATGCATGAGAGCTCGGAAGTGAAAGGTAATAAATGTCCAAAAACCTGGGCATTTAATACACCCCCGCCGAGAGAAGATCATTAAACGTTCGACAGACCGAGGAGAAAATATTAGTTGCACGGGGTCCCGAACAGTAAAGAATAAGATCATTACTCATAGAAATTGGTGTGCATGCTGCCCTCCCCCAATGATTACCTACTAGCTACGCTGTCAGCAATGATGAGTTTTTAAGGTATAAATAGTTCTCACAAACACAGAAAAAATGTACGCAACTAACACTCTCTCAACCATCATGCAGTGTTTTCTTATTCCCCTCTCTCAAAGAACTGACTTGATCGTCGGAGGGGATACGCCGAAAAATACTCCAGCGCCCTTCTAACCTGTTTTCCTTTGTTCCAGGAACCTCCTTCAGTCTTCCAGGATCACTCAGGCGACTCATACCAACAATTGATTATTCACATTCGACCCTCACAACCTGTTCAACTAGCAAGATCAACCACCCAATTTCGGACACGTGTTCACCACGGAAGAGATCTGTTCTAGTATTTATACTGTGCAGGATCTTGTACCCATAATCTGGCATCGTCTGTGGAAAACGAGTAGTTTTTCTAGTTTCTTCTCTAGAAGAACAATGACAATGGTGAATACTCGACAAAAAGGGAAAGGTCTCCAGCAAAGAAGTCTCGAGTTACAAGCTCCTTCTCATGTTAGGGAGAGGGATCACGCTAATGACAACAGGAACGTTTTTATTCATTCAAGGGGGCCTACTCCTCAAACCAGTATGGGCATTAGATCAGGTGGATCCGCTCTCTTGGCTCGTCTACTAGCGAAGGTGATTGAAGAAAAATTTGGGGATCGCCTACGACAATTAGAATAAGATAATGTGAATGTCCAAAGCCGGCTCAACGAATTTGTCGTCTCCGGCGAAGGATCAGGGGACTCATTCCATTTTCGCAGACGCCCCGTCTGGGAAGCAGAAATCGAGGACCTGAGGAATTATTTGAACAACAAAGCTGAGAGCTCTAGGGTCCCGAAGCGCCCGAGAACCGATGATCACCCCCTCGACGGTCATTTCAGGAAGGCAAGGCCTTTGGCCTGGGACGAGCTCCGATGGGGACTATCAAGGCGGGGGAAGGGAGATGAGTTCGAGGAGAATTTGACCTTTTTCGCACGACGCCTGAAGAAGGGGAGCCCCGTCAATGACCTTGGAAACTTCAGAAGACATCCTTCCGAGGTGGAGACTGATCTCAGAGCCCGGTTGGAATCTAAGAGAAGAGGCAAGGCCGTACAGGATGACGCCGAAGACGAGGCCATGCAATCGTCTTTTACCAGGGATATCCGAGATATGGAGGTACCAAAGAAGTTCGTCGTGCCAAAGTTTAAAACTTATGATGGGCGATTTGATCCCGAAGCTCACCTCAAGCAATACAAGCAAATGATGTCCCTGTATCATTCAGACCAACGACTCCTCTACCGTGTGTTCTCCATGAGTCTAGGAGATTCTGCGATGAAGTGATTCGAGATTCTTCCTTCCAACAGCATTGGGTCATGGAAGGAGTTGGTGAGGTAGTTTCTAGCATGATTCATTACAAGGAGCAAACAGCCCAAAGACATTGGGTCATTACTGACGCTCAGGCAGAGGGAACAAGAAACCCTTCGCCAGTATGCCACCTGGTACTGGGAGGAGATCAATGAGGTAGAGGGGTGTTCGGAGGTCATGGCAGTCGCATCCTTTAGGCTCGGCCTGGCAAGGGATACGGACCTATAACGATCCCTGACTAAGAAGACTCCCTCAGATATTGGAGAATTGATGGCCTGAATAAACAAATACTCTAGAATTGAGGATAAAATGGGGGGTAACAAAGGCAGAACTCTCCCACTAAGAAGAAAAGAGAGAGAAGTAGGGGACACCTTTCGAAAGGGGCTGGTACCCCCTCCAGGGGATCATTTAAAGCTGTTCACACTGTCTTCAAAAAATTCATTTACAAGTTACTCCATAAAATCAAGCATGAGTCGTTCTTCAAGTGGCCACCCAGGATATAGAGTGATCCTTCCACCTGTGATCAAAAGGTCAAGTGTTCCTATCATTGGGATTTTGGTCATCGCACCAAAAATTGTAGGATATACAAGTCTTTCTTGGAAGGGATAGTCCAGGATGGTCATTTAAAAGAATACGTCGAACCCAAGTCAGAAGAGAGACGCGGTCCTGCCCCTGCCGTGGAGCAAGACAATGTCATAGACGTGATCCATATATGTCCACTGGATCGCCCGACATCCAAGGAGCTTGAGTTCGACCTCAAGAGGGTAGCCTTTACAAGAAAGGTCGTCGAGAGTGATGGGGGCCCGCCTAGCAAGAGGGCTAGAATCGACGAGCCGGGTATCACCTTCTCTGACGTAGACTTGACAGGCGTGGTGACTCTCCATAACGACGCCCTAATCATAACTCTAAAGATAGGTAAGTTCGAAGTCAAGAGGGTGTTGGTGGACTCCGGGAGTTCCTCGAAAGTGATGTACTTGGAGACTTTAAAGCGGATGGGCTTTAGCCTCAAGGACCTCACTAAGGTCAGGACACCCCTCGTCGGATTTAACGGCTCATTTGTCATGCCCATAGGCAAAATCACATTGTCAGTTGTCACGGGTCCCTTCACTATCAATATTGAGTTTGTTGTGATTGATACGGACTCTCCCTACAGTGTGATCATGAGATGAACTTGGTTGCATGCGCTAGAAGCGATGCACTCCATTTATCACCAGAAATTAAAATTTACTACACCAGAAGGGATAATGGAGATCCGAGGGGACCAAACATCTGCGAAAAACTATTTTTACTCAGTTATGAGAGCGGGAGTTTCCACCCAAGAGAAGGGAAGGGGCCCGGAAGAGATCCTGGAAAAATAGCAATCATAATCCAGGTGTCCAGGAGTGGATGACCCCCGAACTAATCCAACAAACTGGTCGGTAGAAGACCTCCGAAAGGTATTCTTAGTCGGTGGTGAAGAGGAGAGATACTTCCTGATTGAAACCGCAATGCCTACAGCCGAACAGGAAGAGATGATCGACTTTTTCAGGCAAAATACAGACGTGTTCGCTTGGAACACAATGAAAATGAAGGGGGTGGACCCCGAAATAATCACGCTTAAGCTACATGTTGACCTGACACACAAACCAATAAAGTAGAAGCCACGGTGCATGGCGTCACACCACGCCCGGGTGGTGAACGAGGAAATCGATAAACTCCTTGAGGCCAATACCATCCGGGAGGTGCAGTTCCCGGAGTGGTTATCTAACATAGTCTGCGCGAAGAAAAAAGGGGGGAAATGGTGCGTCTGCGTAGACTTCACTAATCTGAACAAAGCGTGTCCCAAGGACGACTATCCTCTCCCAAAGGTGGACCAGTTGGTGGATGCCACTGCCGGGTACCAGTGTATGGACTTCTTGGATGCCAGAGCAAGATACCATCAAATTCCTCTATATCCCCCAGATCAAGAAAATATATCGTTTATCACCCCGATGGGGGTTTATTGCTACAAAGTCATGTCATTTGGGCTAAAGAACGCCAGAACTACGCACCAGAGACTGATGAATTGGATGTTCAAAAGACAAATCGACAACACCATAGAAGTCTACATCGATGATATGTTGGTGAAAAGTAGAAGAAGTTATGACCACCCGGTGGATTTGGCCGATACCTTCTCCACCCTCAGGGAGTATAAGCTGAAGTTAAATGCTGCAAAGTGTGTTTTCGGAGTCGAGTCAAGTAAATTTTTCGGATATCTGGTAAGTCGGTGAGGAGTAGAAGCTAATCCGGATTAGATTCAAGCAATCTTGGACGTTCGAAGCCCCCGAACAGTCTGAGAAGTCCAGAAGCTCATAAGGATGTTGGCAGCACTCAACCGTTTCATCCCGCGCTCCTCGGACAAATGCAAACCCTTCTTTGGGGCCATCAAGGGGGGCCATGAAGGATACGTGGAGCCAGGAGTGTGAAGACGCCCTGACAAGAATCAAGGAATATCTCAAGGTTCTCCCGACCCTATCCGTCCCTGTCCAGAGGGAAATGCTCTTCCTCTACTTATCCGTAT